ATTAAACTTAATTTTTATAAGATTTAACATATTTATTTATATATTTTTATTAGTGTTAAATTATTATTAAGTAAGTTTTTAAGATTGTTATGTAACCAAACATAGTAAAAAATATTTATGACAGATAAATATATAATATTTATAACATGTATTTTTTAACAAAAATTAGGTTTAAATCTGTTAAATTATAATATAACATAATTTGACCTAGTTTATTTTCATCCTTAATCATAATTATAGATATAAAAACTTGTAAAAAATAACTATAATATATATTTATACTTTTAAAAATTATATGTAAATTTTTTAATATTACAAATATATGAATAAGTATTATCTTCACGATCTAAAATTTCTAGATATAATCATCAACAGTATGTGTGGCATTCTGGAACCAGAACGTCTCGTTCTGAAACCAGAACGGGCCGTTCCGGTTTCAGAACGGGCTGTTCCGGTTCCAGATACATGACAAAAATTTGACATCCACGTGGCATCTACGCAGCTTTCACATGGCATCCACGTAGCATCCACGTTGTCAACAATTAACTCCGTCTAAATAATTTGGACAGAAGTCCGACATTGCAACAATTTAATTTATTAGGGACCAAATTGATACCAAAAATAAAAGTGGGACTAAATTGAAATAAACAATTATTATAAGGGACAAAATTAGATTTTTAGCCTTTAATAATTGAAATAAAAAAAAGTTCAGTTGTTTAGTAATTAAATAAAACAACGTGATAGCTAGAAAAATGTTTCTTCACTCTATATATATTAAAAATTACAGTATTAAAAAGTAGATAGAACTATCTTAAGATGTATAAAAAATGAAGAATTTTATATCTCAGAAATCGTTTGATATTTATAATCTTTCATTTCCAATTAAATTATTTTCCTGAAAATAAGATTCTTAATAATATAATGTTGCTGCAAAAAGAAAATAACGTTAGAAGAAATATAAAACAGGTTTTATTATTATTATTCAATTTCCGTGGGTGGTATGATTATGGTCAATTATGAGGTAAACTATTCAAGATTTTTTATATTTTAAAACTATTTTTATTTCCATCTATTTAATATAAGAAACTTTTATAATTTATGTGTCACTTTCTCAAAAATGTTAAAATATTGTTTATGAGAAAAACTTGCTATTTCTATAAATTGAATGTGTTGGTTTAGAAAGTTCTAAGAATAAGAAACACTCCGATGAATAAATTATACTAGTAAGTTTAATGTCACAATATAATTCAAAATTTAAAGAAAATAATTAAGTGAGTGTAATGTAGTTAGTAGTCTAGAACGGGCTATATTTCCAAATTAGAATGGGTCGTTCCAAACTATTAAAATAAGGGTGATTTAGTAGCTCAGACGGGTCGTTCCCAAACTGAAACGGGCCGTTCCGAACCACTAAATAGGCTTATAAATCCTTGTTGGAAACAGGCCGTTCTAAACAGGGTTGTTATGAGTAAAAGGCAACCCTAGAACGAGTCATTCTGCATGTGATTTTTGCACATGATGAAGGGGTACAGAACGCGTCGTTTCGGATTCGAAATGGGTTGTTATGGCTACTCCAGATTTCTATAAATAGGTGTCATGCATGTGGTTGAGGAGAAGAGAGGAAGGGAACTTAGAGAGAGGTTTTAGAGAGAAGTTTTAGAGAGAATGACTCTAGGTCTGTGAGTTCCTTTCTTTCCCAAATTTCTCTGTATGATTCATCTTCTCTTCTAGATCACTAATGTCTTTTGTCTTTTCTTGAAATTCAGACTAGAAAGCTTGCTTTGGGTGGATTGAAGTTCCGGGTTGAACTTCGGAAGGAAATTCTACTTCTCCTTAGTTCTTGGCCATTTTGAGCCAATTTTCAGGTAAGGGAAGCTAGAATTTTTGTTGTTTAGGTTGCATGTGAGTTTAGAAACTCAATTGATGCATGAAAGTCGAGGATCCATGGCTGGATCGGAGAATTCGCTCATTTTTTGGGGTTTTGGGAAAAATGGGGTTTTTGGTGATTTTGATGCATCGGATGGGTGCATGTTGATTTTGAGTTTGTTTTGTGTTGTATGGAACTTGGGCATTGTGTTTTTGTGTTTGAATGTGGTTGGATTTGTTGGTTCGGATGAGTTTTTGAACTCTTTGACTAGGATTAGGACGAGTGTAGGTTGAGCGCGCTGGGCGTGAAAGAGCTTAGGGCTCTCGGGTTAGATGTTAGGCTAGGCGTGATTTGGTTGCGCCGGGCGTGAGTGTGTTTGATATTTTTGGATTGAAATTGATGCTTATGCATGTTTAAAGTTGAAGTTTTAGATCATGTATGTATGATATATGATGTATGGTGAGGTGTGATTCATATGTATGCATGGTAATGATATATATGAATGTTTAAATATGATATGACATGTGTATATGTTCATATGAGTATGATTATTGATCATGATGGTGGGTATACCATGTATGATATATGATGCATTATTGCATGTGATGCCTTATGGCATGTGTATGATTTTTGATCATAATGGTGGATAGACCATGTATGATGTATGATGCATTATTTCATGTGATGTCTTATAGTATGTGTATGATTGTTGATCATGATGGTGGGCAGACCATGTATGATGTGTGATGCATAATTGCATGTGATGTCTTATGGCATGAGTCTAGCCTAGGACTTGAGGAGAGAAAAAATATTTTCGAACTGGAAGAGCTCACATAGAGTCTCTTGAGAGTGGTGCTTGGATATGCTACTGATATATGAGAGTGGTACTCAAGTAGGCCACTGGATTTGGGTGAGAGTGGTGCTTAGGTAAGCCACTGGCTTGGGTGAGTCTCCTCTAAGTCCTTAGCTAGTATTGGAGCGGAGTATGATGTCGAGAGTTATTTCCTTAACCAAGTACTTGGGAAGGTGCGTGGATCCTTGAGGATAGTCGGTAGGCGAACTCCACAAGTGAATTGGTAATACATGCCAAGGTCGTGGTAAGCCTATACCCAGTTGTTCTATACCTGACGGTGGATCCAGACTTCCAATTGTGTAAGTGATATCATCCAAGTAAACCCGAGTGAGGATTTTTATCCTGTTTAGCTGTGATTGAGCGGGTGCATTGGGCGTGAAAATGGTTGGGGTGGTTTCGGTAGGATTGGGATGTCACTTACACTACTCTACTATTAAGGAGATCTCCTACGTGTATGCGTGACGACGCATTAGATGATTGATATGCATTGATATCTGTCATGAGTTGCATGTATTGCATGATTGTTATGATGATGAAGTGTATGGTGTTTGACTTCATGTTTGATGAATGAATGATTTGATTGAGATGGAAGTTCCTTTGGGACTTGAGTTGGATGCATGTGTAGTATAGATTTTATTATGTACTTGTATGATTGATTTTTAAACTCTAGCTTACCCTTCTGTTTCCATGTAGTGGGACTGTAATGATCATACTTGGTATGGGAGCATGTCAGGGATAGCTTGGAGTTGAGATTAGGGGTGTTCATGGATCGGTTTTTTCAAAAAACCGATCCAAACCGAACCGAACCGTTTTATAAAAGTGGATCGGTTAACCGATCCATTTTTTATAAAGTGGAACGGTTTGGTTTTTTTAAAATATGGATCGATTTTTTTGAAATTGGATCGGTTCGGTGCGGTGCAGTTATCCACTTTTTTACTCATATATGGATCGGTTTTTTTAGAAAACCAAACCGAACCGAACCGATCCACTTTGTAAAAATGGATCGGATAACTGAACCGGTTTTATAAAATGGTTCAGTTCGAATTTTTTTTAAAAATGGATCGGATTTTTCAATATGGATCGGATCGGTTATGGATCGGTTCGGATCAATTTGGATTTTTTGCACACCCCTAGTTGAGATAACCGCTGCGAGACGGGGAGTTTGATCCTCGTGTTAGAGTTACCATTTTGGGTAACGATTTTATTTGTGTTTGACCGACACTAGGAAATATTATTTTTGGGATGACTGTACATATATGGTGTTCTATTTTGTATACAGAAACTTATTTATTTTATTCTTACCGATACCTGTATGTATGAGTTATCCAGCTTAATATTTTTCTTAATTTACTAGTAGTAGTGCGATTCCACTAAGTGTAGAGATCATGGCAGGTCATTACAGTGAGTCTTTTTTACTTGTATATATTATTTAACATATTTAACTTTAATGAACGTGAGATTCACTTCATATTTAAATTCCATCAAACTGTATCATTCAATATCAATTTCAATTTATTATTTTATTAATTAATTTCCACAAAAATATATAATTGATATAATGTCTATATTACTCATTAATAAACTTTTTAGATCCAGTGTACTGAAACTAATATTGTTTATAACAAATGCTAGTTAGATTCTATAAATATAAAGCATGAATCTTGGATAATATTTCTTGATACAGTAAAATAAATATAAAATCTATATATACTGTACCAAAAATTAAAGTTATATAAAAAACTATACACTCTGAAGATTTTTGTTTATGTTTCTCGATCTTTGATACTGAACATATGTATAAAGTTTAATTGGACAAAAAAAAAGGATTTACATAGTTTGATCGAATTCAAAAAACTAAGGCCTAACCTTAAATTGAAATTGAAACATTTCTTTTTAGTGTGTGGGGGGTTGCTGCTTTCAAAATATTCATTTTGTATTGCATATCACCCAGGGATCGAACATAACATAAAAGTTGTATTACAAATTAATTTTCTATATTGTACTATCCTTCACTTAAAGAGAATAAAAAATTGAAGAGAGAAGAAAAAAAAAAAAAAAGACTAGCCAGCTATATATTAATGTATTAAACCCGTATTATATAGCCATCTTCTGGCTGTAGAAAAGGACTGCACAAGTGGCGAGGCGAGGTAGGCAAGCGCAACGTGACAGTGTGACACTGATGCACGATTTAATAATTTAATAAAACAAAATCTTATTATTTACCCACGTCATTGTATTTAATTTTTATTTTAATTTTCTGTCTCTAACTCCTATCTCTAAATCCTATCTTTCTAATCATAAATTATCACGTCATTATATTTAATTTTTATTTTAATTTTTAAAGAGAGAGACAAGAAAATAATGAGCGAAGAAGGTCCTCCAAAGCTATACACCAACAAGCCCCGAAAAGGTTTGTTTTTTGCTAAGAAAAATTGTGCAAAATCAAATCAAACCAAACTCTTATTTTGATTTAAGGTTTATGTCTTTCGTAACAGCGCAACTCAAGCATGCTCGAGGGCAACAGAAATCCAACGGCTTCTCCTCGCCGACGGCGACGGTCACCCACGGCCCAGCCACTGCTCCGCCGCCTTTGCCGGAAATGTTGTTGCCAACCACTGTTACGGTACTCAAGTCCCTTTTTCTCTGTCGGTGCTCAGTTATGGTAGGTACATATGCTTTCTTCTTCTTTTGGTAAAGAAAAAACTGTAACAAATTTGTTACACCTTTTAAAATTTAAAATAAAAATTAAATGTAATGACGTGGCAATTTATGATTGGAGGGATAGGGTTTGAAGACAGGAGTTGAAGATAGAAGATTTTCATCCTTCCTACATATACTTAAGAAATAAAAAAAAATTCACACCGCAACGCAACCCGGCCTCCTTCATTTCTGTCATAGACTCTATTTTCTATTTATATTTTAAAAAGTCAGCCAATAATATTTACCCAGTTGTATTCGTACCATTTTCATGCAAATAGTATTCATAAAATACAACACTGTTGTTTACATGTTTAATAATTAATATCAAGCATGTTAAGAGAATGAGTAGTGTTTAGCACATCTTTAATGGAAGCAACTCATTTAAGTTGTATTATGCGTTAAAAAATGAAAAAAGTGATTTTGAGTGTGCCATGTTAGCATTAAGTAACTCAAACACAAATTTACTCTAATGATAATAAACTTTAAGATATTTAACTTTTAAAACTTTTTTTCTAATCATTTATGAACTAAATTTAAATTTTTATTAAAAAGAATAATTACACTATAATGAAAAAAAATAAAATACGAGAAAAAATACATAATAAGTAGATATTAAAAATAAAATAAAATAATAATAAATACATAAATATTATATAAAATTAATTTTTATCATTATTATTTTCGAAACGTTTCTAAATATGTTCAATAAAATTTGTTTGAAATCTGGTAAAGAACGTTAGCTTGAAGAAGCAACTCTTTTTTTTTCAAGCAACTCATATTACCACATCAGAATCCTCCAATAACAAGAAATCGAAGCTTAAGTTACTTAACAGGACAAGCAACTCCCAGGAGTTGCTCTCATTTTCTTGAAATTTTGTATCTTAGTTTAAGGCTGTTCTTTTGCAACGGTAACGGCGTTCGCAATGCGTCTGGAGATTGTGGCGGGGCAGTGACAGCTGCATTGTCTACTTAAATTAGTTGCAAGTATATATAAGAAAACAATTCATTACAGATTCTTAATTAAGAATTTATTTAATCTATTGTGATACTGTGAATTCAATGATGGGGCAATAAGAATAAATTATTAGATATTTTATAACCATCTGTTATTTAATATTTACGATCTCATCAAATAATATCCTTATTTCACTTGCATTTAAATTTACAAGAAAAAAAATTAGCCACACTTGATTACCAAACTAGTTAAAAATATACATGTAGAGGCCCGTATTAGACCATCTCTGATAATTTGTCGGCAAACAAGAGATTATTATTCCATTTGTATTATTACAGAGAACAAAGTTACGAACGCGTAAATAAATGATGCAAAAACAGTAACATAAAATTCATTCTCAAACTGAGTATAGAAGACAAGTCATCCCACCCTTTTTTTTTTTATTTTTCACCAAAAATATGCCAACAGCCAACCCATACCATACTGAATCCTTTGCGAGAAATAGAATCTTTGTAAGATGCCGAATGTCATTATTTGCTTAATTAATTTGAAGTGATGATGATGGGAGAAGAACAGTCATACAAGAAAAGAAGCCAAGCGTTTGATCATTGCCTTAGCAAGATCAGTTTCAGGCTTGAACATCTGGAAAGCATGCGCCTCATCGCCAGCATCGAACAGTTCAACTTCACCTTTCCACCCACTTTTCTTAACGCTCTCGTAATACAGAATATCCCTGTCTCTAAACTCGTCCTTCCCAGTAATAGTAACAAGCAACTTAGAGCACCCAAGTGTGGCCAAAGAGGGTGCCCCGGGAACACAAGGGTTAATACTCGGGTTATCGATTCCACCAGCTGCATCGGGATACACGAAGCTCCACACCTTAATGGCCAAACTCTGGTGGTGCTCTTCAACGGGCTCTGACCCAATGGGCTTGGAGCCCCAGAAGAAGGGACAGCAGAGTAATCCACCTAATATTTGGAGATCTCCATGCAGAGTCTCTGTGCCTGCACGTATCAGCAAGTTGTGTGCAATGTTAGCGCCGTTGGTGTCACCTCCTACGTAGAGTTTGGTGAAGTCAGCGTGGTTGACCAACCATGGCTCGGGGTTGGTGGCACTGGCACTGTTGGCGGCATGGGAAGCAATCCACTGTAGCGCGGTCCAGCCATCTTGGTAGGCCGCGGGAAGAGGGTGGTGTGGGAGGAGTCTGAAGTCAATGGAGATGGCTATTATGTTTGCTTCGGAGGCTAAGATGTTGAGATAACGATGGACGTAAAAGGAAAAAGCAGATTCAACGCAGAAAGCGCCACCGTGGAAGTAAACGAAGATGGGAAGTTTGTGGGTGGAGTTTTTGTGGGACTTTGGAAGGAATATGCGAGCAGAGAGAAAAGGGTTGTCTGCGATGACGATGTCTTTGGATGAGACTCCTGTTTCGGGGTCTTCAAGGGAGGGTGGCACGTTTGGAGAACTTAAGAGACGGTCCACGGAACCATCGCTGTAGACTCTTATAAGTGGAAGAAGCTCTTTCACTACCACCTTTTCGGTTGCCATTGAAGAGAGAATAAAATAGTGGAAATAGAGAGGATGAACGGAATTAAAGGAAAGTTCAGTTTTGTGCTCAGAGAAGTGAGTTCTGCTCCTTGTTAAATACACGTAATGCTGTGAGACCTAACCTCTTTTATTCGTTGAATATTAATTTGAGAGATTAAAATAAATAAATAATCAAAGGTGATGGGATTGGGATGCATATGAAAGATAAACCAAGTTGGGATGAGGATGATTGTCAAAGCTTGTGTCTTTATCGTCGGCATGTTGTTAGCATAGTTCTACTTTGTGTTTGTGTGTTATTTTAATGTTTGTTGAAACTTACAGCTAGCTATTTTAAATAAAGTCGTATCGAATAAATAGCCATCTACACGTTGAAATGTATCTCACAAAGGGGAGTAGGTGGGTGAGTACCTGAGTGGAATATTGACATTGTGATCTAAGGATTCAGTAACGTCCACGGTCGGGGCTGAATAACAGTCCACATTTTGAACATTCTTTTATTTATTTGTATAACTTTTTTCTATATTAAAAAACTGGAAATAAATAAATTATACCAAAAAATATTTTCATACTAATTAAAATTTACACTAATTTTTTTAACATCAATTGTATATTACGTCCGATCCTTTTTATAAATAATAAATTATAGTGTACCGGAAGGGTCCTATCGGCCACGTGGACCGATATGTGATGTCCTATCGGACTTCGACACAATTTTCGGCACGACCTCGGCTCGGCAGAAGGCCGAAAACTAAGGACAACCCAACCCTTTTTCTATCGGCACGGCCAAAGGCCGAGAACGAAGAGGTTGTCTCGACCTTTTCCTATTGGCTCGGCTAAGGCCGACAGAGCCAGACAGAAGTTAGGACGATGATCATGATTAACAAGGGGAAGCACGCGATTAAGGCCACGTGGATCGACACGTCATGTCCTATCAGATATTGACGCAGTTTGGACACTACTTCGGCTCGGTAAGGGGCCGAGAACCATGGAGAATTCAACCCTCTTCCTATCGGTTCGACCAGAGAGGTTGTCTCGGTCGTGCCCTGTCGGTTCGGCCAGAGGTTGTCTCGGCCGTTCTCTATCGGCTCGGCCAAAGAGGTTGTCTCGGCCGTGCCCTGTCGGCTCGGCCAAGGACCAATAGAGAATAGTTAGGATGATAATCATGGTTAACGAAAGACAACACGCAATTAAGGCGTAACCAACCGATTAACATCGTATTACCTAATTCGGTAAATGTCAGAGAAGGCCCACCTCGCTCAGGCCCATGACAGGTAGTATAAATAAGTCACATGAAACGAGGTATGTCACTGTTCATTTATTACTCTCAAGAATTATGCTTGTCCTGACTTGAGCGTCAGAGTGCCTTTTGCAGGTACCTCCCCCCTCTAAAGCATCAACTCGAAGCTCTCGTTCGGCCCTCCAGTTACTAGAAGAGTACGAGTGTGCCCTTAGACAGGTATAGTTTCTAAATATTTATTTGTTTCTTACTTAACAACCTTTATACGTTCAAAGTCGTTCTTTCTTTCTTTTCCCGTTAATTAAAAGGTTTGCATTCAAGTGATGAAAATAAAAAAAGTTATCATTTAAAAAATGGATAATGAAGAAAACTAGCTCTGCTAGGGTTTCAGAGGAAGACGACTTTGCTAGTGACAATCCTATCATCCAGAGTACTAAGAAGGTTAAAACGAAAGAATCTAGTGAGCCTGACTCTGCCATGGAGGATGCTCGCATGGAGGAACCGGTGGAAGGGGCTGCCATGCGAAAAGACCCGTCTAAATCTTATTTAGAAAGTCTTCTATCGCCTGATGGAGGGAAGATTTTCACCGATCTCAATAGTTTAATGAAAGAGATGGTGTGCCCGGAGGAAGCAATCTATAATGATAAAGATGATTCAATAGAGGATGAGGGGGAACTAGACTCGTGTCCCACTATCCCTGTCACGCAGGAGGAATTTGAAGATTGGTGTTCTCCGTGGAAAAATTCCTTAGTAATCAACGTGCTTGGGAAACGCGTAGCGTACAAAATGCTGGACAATAAAGTTCAACGTGAATGGGCAAAATCTATGATTGTCCGCTTAATCGATCTGTCTCAAGATTTTTACCTTGTGCAATTTTCAGCTGAAGATGATTACAAGCATGCCTTGTATGAAGGGCCATGGATGATTGCAGATCATTACATTGTTGTTCAGAGGTAGAGACCTTTCTTCACGCTCACAGCGACTAAAACACGCAAAATCGCGGCTTGGATTCGCATTCCAGGGCTACCTATTGAGCTGTTCAATGACCGCTTTATTTGGCGTGTAGATAGCAAGTTGGGAACAATGCTTAAAATTGATAAGCTAACCTCTATCGAAACTCGTGGAAGATTCGCCAGGATATGCGTGGAGATTGATCTCAAGAAGAAGCTGGTCTCGCATATTAATGTTCTTGGGCATATCCTCCACTTGGAATATGAAGGGCTTCACTCTATCTGTTTTCATTGCGGAAAATATGGTCATAAACAAACCCTATGCACTGAACTCATGGTGAAGGAGGTTGATGGTAATATGACTGCAAATAATCATGAAGCATCCATGAAGGTGGGCACTGTCGACGTTCCAAAAATGGCTGGAGAAACTAACCCAAATCAGGATCGACAAGATTCAAATCAAGATCAGTCAAATCTGGGATGTTTGGATTCAGTAGACCAATATGGTCCTTGGATGATAGTTAAACGTAACAATAAAACTGCAAGAAACCGGCCGCAAAATCTGGGAAAGGATAAAGCTAGAGATTTGGGTCTTGACAATCGCACCAAAGATCAACATGAATATATTTCTGGGGAAAGGACAAACCCGGTAAACCAATCTGATGTTCCTAATGTGGGACAAGAACTGACTAGTCAAACCAGATCAGTGGTCATAAGTCGCAACCCCTTAGCTGGAAAAAACCCACAAGTACAACGTAAAAATAACAACCCCCAGGATAAGAACAAGGTAATAAGAGCTCCATCTCTAGGCGCAAACGGAATCTCCCTTAAAGGTGGGGCCCATCTCCATCCTAGCTCTCCAAAAAAATCTCATGCATGGTCAAAGAGTCATCATGCAGAACGTGAAGCGGAAAACTCTCTTAGAGTTCTCACCGGCCTAAAGAACGTAACATATAGGAGGGAGGATTCCATGCAGATTGAAGATCAGTTAATCACACATGCTCACACCCCCAATGATGAGACATTAGCCTTTGCTAATGCGCTAAAACAACATTTTGAACCAGGAGCGAATAATTCTGGGAAACATACAACGAAGAAGCCAGTTGGAATTGTCCAACATGATGGATCCAAGTTTTCAAAACCAAACTCCTCCTCTGATTCGATATGAATATTCTAAGTTGGAATTGTAGAGGGACGGGCAACAAAGGATTTGCTCCTCTTGTTAATGACTTAATTCATGAAAATGACGTGGGTATTTTGTGTTTACTAGAAACACATGTTAGTGGCTCTAAAGCACAGCAGATTGCACACCGCATCAAACTTGATAAATCCTTCATGGTTGACGCATATGGTCATGCTGGAGGAATATGGTGTTTTTGGGACTCGGCAAGATGGAAACTGGAGATGTTACAATCCTCTTCTCAGTTTGTTCATTTTGTTGTTTCAAGTGGATCCTTAGCCTGGGAGTTAACTGTAGTTTATGTCAACCCGCACCCTCAATTTCGTATAGGTCTCTGGAGGGACCTTAGAAGAATAGCCGCGAATATTCAAAATCCTTGGTGCATTCTAGGTGATTTCAATGTTGTCCTTAAAGAGTCGGAACGCAAAGGAGGTTCATCATCGGCGTGCCTCCGTGGTGACAACGCCTTTAGAGAGTTTGTGCTTGAATGCCACCAGATAGATATGGGCTACCAGGGAGCACCCTTCACTTGGAAAAGAGGACCATTATTTGAGAGATTGGATCAAGTTCTGGTTAGCATGGAGTGGAAAATGGCTAATCCAAACTCAAATGTATTTCATCTAAACCCGCTTAAGTCGGACCACTGCCCTATCCTACTGAAACTATCACCAGAAACGGTAAATAAATCCCGTAGACCATTTCGCTTTGAAGCCGCATGGTTGACCCACCCTGACTTTCCCACCCTAATCAGAGAAAGTTGGGACGAGCCAATAGATTGGCCAAGCAAATTGAGCAACACACAATGCAGCCTGCTAAAATGGAACAAAATCACTTTTGGTAATATTTTTCATGCTAAGAAACGCCTGAGAAGGAGGTTGAACGGCATAGCAGCTAGGCTCTTTCAGGAAGATAACCCTTTCCTCTCAAATCTGCAAAGAGAATTATGGAGCCAATATGAAACAATTCTCGCAAGGGAAGAGTTACTTTGGCTTCAGAAATCTCGGTGCAAATGGATGGAATATGGAGATAGAAATACCAGTTATTTTCATGGCACCATAGTCAATAGAAGGAGGCAAAACAGGATCGTGAAGCTACAAGATGATGAAGGTACTTCGATAGAAAATAAACGTGATCTGGAGCTTATGGTGACTGCATTCTATAAACGTTTATTTAAAGACCCAGAAGTGTATGTTCCATATTGTCTCACGTCAACCTTTCCTGCCCTATCAGCTCAAGAGTTGGAGGCCTTCTCTCTACCATTTTCAGATTTGGAGATTCATGGTGCTGTAAAGCAAATGGGGGGCCTTAAAGCCCCTGGACCAGATGGCTTCCAAGCTATCTTCTACCAATCCCAGTGGAATATAGTGGGCCCGTCTTTGTGTCGATTAATTCATGATGTGGAACTTAATCCGAGAAAGATCTCTGAAATCAATGGTACCTTGATAACTCTCATAACAAAAGTTGATAATGTAGTTTCACTGAAGCAAATGAGACCTATTAGCCTCTGTAACGTTTCCTATAAAGTGATCACCAAAATCCTGGCTACCTGACTCAGGAAAGTGATGGAAGGTTTAGTAAGCCCAAATCAGTGTAGTTTCGTCCCTCATCGGCAAACATCTGATAACATCATCATCACCCAAGAGGTGATTAACTTTATGAAACATAGAACTGGCAAGAAAGGCTGGATGGCTATTAAAATAGATCTTGAGAAAGCCTACGACCGTCTCAATTGGAGATTTATTAAGGATACGTTGGAAGATATTGGGTTCCCTAAACAGTTTGTGGACTTGGTGTGGGCCTGTATCTCCACTCCATCTATGAGTATGCTTTGGAACGGGGAGAAACTGGAAGTTTTCAAACCGTCTCGAGGTATCAGACAAGGGGACCCCTTATCCCCCTATCTCTTCGTTTTATGTATGGAGCGTCTGTTTCACCTTATAGATGTTGCTGTGACCCATAAGTTATGGAAACCGATTAAACTTTCTAAAGGAGGGCCGGCATTATCATACCTTGCCTTCGCGGATGACCTGATCCTACTCTCTGAGGCCTATATGGATCAGGTAGAAATTATTCAACAATGCCTTGATTTTTTTGCAATAGTTCAGGTCAGAAGGTCAACATTGAGAAAACTCGCATCTTCTTCTCAAAAAATGTGACTTGGGCGGTTAAGAAAGAGATCAGCGATGCTCTCAAATTTCAACGTACTAATAACCTTGGTAAGTATCTAGGAGTTACTATCCATCACGAGAGAGTTAATCGTCGTCTCCTTAGATCTGTTATGGAGAAGGTGAATCAAAGGCTTAGCTTGTGGAAGACAAGAAACTTATCTTTCGCTGGTCGTTTGACCCTCACCAAATTTGTCCTCGCGGCAATTCCCTCCTACACTATGCAAAAAGTTTTCTTTCCCCGTCAGGCTTGTGATGAAATCGATAAGTCATGTAGATCATTTTTGTGGGGCCACACAAGTGACCAGAGGAAGATCCATGCGGTAGCTTGGTCAAAGATCTGCAAACTTAAAAATGAAGGAGGTCTAGGCTTGAGAGAAATGAGGCTTGTTAATAGATGTTTTATGATGAAAAATTGTTGGAATAATCGATTATTTGGGCAATAATCGATTATTTGGGCAAGTTAGAGGAAATGACCTTCTGGAATAGTCGATTATTTAGTGTAGAAAGGGTTTTTCAAAGGATTTTACTAATACAAATAATCGATTATTTGTATAGATGATCTATTATTTGCACGACCCTTGATTTTCTAGACGATTTTTGAACGGTTTTATTCGCGCCAACCTCCAACT